AACATAGATTTCTTAGCCGACAAGTAGGGTATGTTTGTTTTTCTTATAGCATGAAAATTTCATTTAATTGTCTTCTGACTGCTATCATTTCTAATGAAAGTCATCTGTAATTCTTTTTTATTGTTTCCTTAATGGACTGTCTCTGTTGTTATTTTTGCTTTCTATCCTTTGTTTTCAGTAGTTTCACTGGGTGTGATCTTCTTTATGTTTACTCTTCCTGGAGTTCCCTAAGTTTTTGGATTTCAGGGTTAACGTCTTTACTCAATTTGGGGGTGGGTGGGGACAAATATGGCTGCTATCTCTTCAGACAATTCTTCTGCTCCATTCTTTTCTCTCCTTCTAAGACTCCAATTGCATATGCATTAGGTCAATAATTCTCAAAGTGAAATGTGGTATAGGGACTTCTGGAATTCTTCAAGACCCTTTTAAGAGATCCACAGGATTAAAAAAAAATTATAAGAATATTCTCATAAGTGTTCGATGTAGTTTTCTAGAATCTATATGATGTGTGATATCACAGAAGATTGAATGCTGAAGCAGGTATGAAGATCCAGCTGTCTTCTATTATATTAAGGAGATTTGCAAACACACACACACACACACACAAGTCAAACAGTGCCACTCTTCTCACTACTTTTGTTTTGGAAAATACAGTGTTTTTATTCCATTTTTAAAATACATCATTTATGTTAAAATGTGTAATGGGTTGTGTGCCCCCTCCACAATTCATATGTTGATGTCCTAATGCCTAATCTGTGAGAATGTGACCTTACTTAGAGATAGGGTCTTTGCAGAGCCAATCAAATTAAAATGAGGTCTTTAGAGTGGGCCCTAATCACATGACTGTGATTTCCCTTATAAGAAAGGGAAATTTGGAGACAGACACACACACACACACACACACACACACACACAGGAAGCATGCCATGTGAAGATGAAGGCAGGGACTGGAGTGATACTTCTATAAGCCAAGAAATGCAAAAGATTGAAGTAAGCCACCAGAAGCTATGGAAGTCATAGAACAGATTCTTCCCCATAATCCTCAGAAGAAACCAGCCCTACTGATAATTTGATCTCAGATTTCTAGCCTCCAGAGCAATGTGACATTATGGTATTTTGCTACAGCAGTGCCAGGAAACTAATACAACATGAATTTGGCTTATTGTTTTTTAATGAATTAATAAATATTTCTAAAATTCTTCAGAAATTCTTTCTTATAAATTCTTTCACATAATTATAATAGTTTTGTTAAACAGTGCCTTCATCTGAGATCTCTCTGTGATTATTTACACAGACTTTTTTCTCTACTATGGGTCACACTTTTCTGCTTTTTTGTATGTCTAGTAATTTTTTATTTTATTTTGGCCATTGTGGATGATGCTGTGAAAGGATTCTGGATTCTGTTATCTTCTTTTAAAGAGTATTGAGTTTCATTCAGGCAGGCAGTTAAATTTTTCACATTGATCCTGCAGGATCTTTGTTTTAGGCTTTTTTAAAGGTAGGTCTCTTTTAGTTTTGCCCTTAGTCCTAGGACATAGCCCTTAACCTTGGGCTATAGCTTTACCCCTAAAGCATGCAACTTCTGGGATTCCAATGGAAAGCTCCAGGTATTTAATAAATCCTTTGGTAAGAGTTAAATGTCAAACTCTGTTGAAATTCCCACTCATCTTCTTAGTCTTCCAAATGATGCTTAGAGGAAAGCATCCTTGGAGTCATATACAGTTTAATTCTTGAGTCATATACAGTCACTCAAGAATTTAAGGGAAATTTTTATCCAGATTCTGAGGTTTACCCCTACTTGGCTATCTCTGTTCCTGGATTTTCTCTCTCAATTTAGAACCATTTTTGTGGGTGCTTGGGTGGCTTAGTCAGTTAAGCATCTCACTCTTGATTTTGGCTCAGGTCATGATCTCATGGTTCGTAAGATCGAGCCCTGTGTCAGGCTCTGCACTGACAGCATGAAAACTGCTTGGGATTCTTTCTGTCTCTCTCTCTGTCCCTCTCCTACTCATGCGCACTCTCTCTCTCAAAATAAATAAATAAATTTTTAAATGTTCATTTATTTGGGGGAGGGGGCAGAGGGAGCACATGAGCAGGGGAGGGGTAGAGGGAGACAGAGATACAGAATCCGACACAGGCTCCAGTCTCTGAGCTGTCAGCACAGAGGCCGATGCAGGGCTCAAACTCACGAATTGTGAAATCATGACCTGAGCCAAAGTCTGGTAACCAACTGAACCACCCAGGTGCCCCTAAATGTTTTTAAAAATGTATTTAAAAAACAGAACCATTCTGGAAGCCTCAAATTCTGGACTATGTATCATCAGCCCACTATCTGCTTGAGATTCATTCCTCTGTGCAAGTCTATAACTGTTATTAGCATGATGATTAGTCTGATACAAGCTACCAGTACAGGTACTTAGAGAAGGTTATTTAGGTTATAACACCAAACATTAATGTAATAAGACATTATCAATGTGTTTTGATCTGTAAGGTCTCCCATTTTTAAGTGTTTTTTCTTAATTGAGGCATAATTGACATGCAATATTATATTATTTTCAGGCATATAACATAGTAAGTTGACAATTGTACACACTGTGAGCTTTTTACTTTTTTAAAAAAAAATTTATGTCTTTATTTTTTGAGAGAGAGAGAGACAGAGTGTGAGCGGGGGAGGGGCAGAGAGAGAGGGAGACACAGAATCTGAAGCAGGCTCCAGGCTCTGAGCTGTCAGCACAGAGCCTGATGAGGGGCTCGTACCCCTTGACTGTGAGATCATGACCTGAGCCAAAGTCAGATGCTTAACTAACTGAGCCACGCAGGCACCCCAGCTTTTTACTTTTAAAATGGCATATATACCCATATTTCTTTGGAATTTCACATGGCCCTGCCAACTAGTTCTCGGGATTTCACATGGATGACCCTCAGGAATCAGAAAGTAACCTAGGATTTCTCTATATCTAAGAGTCTTAGACCTATTCTCTATTAAATGCCTTTCACAGTGCCAGAATTCTACAGTCAGTAGAAAGCAATAACTGTACCCTCCAATTCACTTCCTTATTTTAGGCTGGACACATCCCTGTTGCAATGTCTTGTTACTTTTCAGGACTGGTAGGCAGAGATATGAGTGGACAACACACTTAATATGGAATCCCTGGGATTGTACTGATTTACAGCCACACAGTCAGATCCATGAGACCCACAGTGACATAAATATGTACACAGGAACAAAGATACATAAAGATGCACACACTGATGCCCACTGCAGGTACACACAGACACACTGAGTGACATACAGAGGAACATATACAGCAGACACAGAGTCATAACCATACCTGTGAAATCCAGAGACTTACAAAGGTATGTACCTACCCAGACACAAACCAGAATTGTGAGAGAACAGCCACACACATACATGTTTACAGATTCACCTGTACGAGACGTACACTCACTGTTACACAGAACACAGACATAGATGTTTCTATGAACCATTCACAAACAAAAACACACAGAGGGTCACATGAGCAAATACACACATAGTCATTCACACTCAGACCTGTGAGACACACACATAATGAACGCATATCTATACAGACTCAGACCAGACCTGTAAGTCAACAGCTATATGCCATCACATACAGAATCACACCAGCCTCACAAGCCCACAAGTGCACACAAGTCACATTCCCATGCGCAGAAAGCTTACACACATACACACATCCAGACACATACCAGAACTGTTAAGAGAGCAGCCGTATACAGGCCCACAGACCAGGTGGCATGCATACACTCTTTCTCAGAGGCATACCCATACACACACACACACACACACACACACACACACACACACACATGAGAAATGAGGCAAGAAACACGCAGAGTCAAAATGAACATAGAGTGATTGTGCAACAGATACAAAGAAACAAGATCAGTAAGACCCACAGAGACACAAATATAATATACACAGGTTCACCTACACACAAGGACTCACACATTAACCAGCCCAATAATGCAGCAACCACTCCCCACCACGCTCACAGATTCACAACCAGACTTGTGAGATTCAGATGCACAAAGTCTCACACCCACCCGGGCTCTTGCCATGGGGTTGCCCTTGAACACTCGTCTGCACTGGGCACAGCTCAATGGTCTCAAATGAGATCCTTAGTCAAGGTAGGGGTCTGAAAAGTTTCCAGTCTGCCTCACCCCGAACTAGCTCTCAGTAGGAACCTGGTAATCGGCCTGGGTTCAAAACCTGGTTCTACCTCCTCCTGGCTATGTGACCTGCGACAAGTAACCCCATCACGCTGCGTCCAATTTTCTTCATCTCTAAAACGAAGGTAATAATATTTACCAAACCTCACTGAGCTGTTGTGAATGTTCTGCCAGAAAATACATGTCAAGCCCTTTCCAGGCAGGAAATGGGCCTGGTATGTCGTTGATCCTCGATAAATACTGGCGTCATCACTGTGTTAAAGTTAAAGGACTGTGCCAGAGCTGTGCCACGGTTTCCCAAGCTCCTGAAGGTGAGCAGTCCCACCAGGGCTGGGGCTCTCCCTCCTTCAGAGTCCCGGGTGCAGCCCACCACCTCTAGGGTCCCTCAGACCAGAGACCTGCGCCTTCGCAAAAAGGAACGTGGGTCGGAGCCCACCCGAGTCCATCTGGAGGCATGGACGAACTGACAGGATATTTCCACGTTTCTGGACACCGTTCTCTCACATCCCCAGTGAGAGACTCACTCACCGAGACACAAGAGCTTTCTGTACCAAAGGGTGGGAGGAAAGGTGGGAGTGGGGCCAGAGAGTTTAGTTGCTGCGCTGGGAACTACATTTCCCAGAAGGCTGTGCTACAAAGCTGGTCGCGTCGAGGCGCCAGGCGGCTCTGGGACCCCCACGGCCTCTCAGAATAGAGTCCGCGCCAGGGTGACGCAAAGTCTACCGGAAGTTGTAGTTCGCGCCCGGCCCGCGCAGGCGCACTTTCCCTCGGCGGTCGCTGAGCTGCTCCTTTGTGGCGGTGGGTCGGCTTTTGTGGGAGGTCGGCCCGCTTGCTCGCGCATCCGTCCGAGCGTAGGTCGGTCTGTCAGTCCGCCGAGGGGCCGCGCTCTACGCCCCCTGCCTCCGGACGGCTGAACTTGAGGCCGGCCCTGGTCACGACGCGCAGTGCTCTGGGAGGAGTGTGTGACAGGCTGCGTGGGGCGCGGGTGATGGGGCGTGAGCGCAGCCTCGGGTGTGGGGCGCTTGCTCAGCCTGCCTGACCCCTACCTTGTGGGGAGCGCAGGAGGCTCCGCGTGCGGGACCGTGCAGCCGGGAGTGCGTGTGCAACCTCACGGCGCTCCCCTGCTTGCTGTCCCTGAGCCCCAGGAGCAGGACCCGCGCCTCTGGGCCTGGCCTGGGGCCCAGGAGGCTGCAGAGCTGCCCACGCCTCCGGCGAACACTGCCGAGGGGCGCCATGGAGACCCCTGCCCCGAAGCCCCAGGAGACAGGTACAATTAGCTCTTCTAGTCACTGAGTCTGTGGCCTTGCGCTTGAGGACACTGACACCCAGAGATGTCAGGCTAGTTTCCCAGAAGCACCTAGCAGAGTCAGGCCTCCTGCGTCTTCACCGTGCGCACCCGTTTACTTCCACGTCTCAAGCATGCTGAAGAGGAAGGGAATAGCAGTGTTTTTCCTTCTTGATTGGAGTGTCTGAGACACTGGCAGAATTAACCCCTGACGCCTATCGGATTGTGCCCGGTATTGGGGCTCCCTCCCCACCCCCACCTGTGTGGGCGGTCCCTGACTCCTCTCTGATCCTCCCCCATGCCAGGGTTGGAGTGGGCTTTATTTAGTTCAGCCATGCACCTGGTGGCTATGGGCAAAACAGCCCCTTTGACTCATTTCTCCTCCTCAGCTCTGCCCTCCCAGGAGCCAGCTTTTACCCTCAAAAAGAATCCAGAGGATAAATTGGGTCAGGGTCTCCTGGAAGCCAGGTCTGAGGTGAGTGGTTGTCTTTTCTTTCTTCTGAACATCTCGTTCTTTATAAAGGGGGTTGGCACTTTTCCCTTGCCCAGGATCTTCAGTCATTCAAGGACCCCCTCTCTCCTGCTCCCAATCTATGGGCCTGCTCTCCCGTCCTTAGGAAACTCTGGGCAATGGAAAAGCTCCGGTGGAAGAGTCCAGGTGTGCCCTTGAAATGAGTGTCCTTCCAGCCTGATTTCAGCCCAGTGGGTGGGTCATTTGCCCAGCAGGAGCTCAGAGGAATGGTTTTAGTGGAACCCAAGCACGTAGATGACAGCTCACACAATCACTTCAGTCCCCTTCACATGCAGACCTGGGGGATGGTCCTCCTTGGGGAGAGTTTTCTGGGATGGAATCAGGTAGGGGGGTGCGGAACAGCTGAAGGAAGGGCTGCATTGCAGCGCCAGAGTATGAGTGATGGGAGGGGGTGTGTCCGTGTGTGCATTTCCTCTGTACCGACCTGGAAATGGGGCTGTCAAAGAAAAACCTGGAGTTGTAGAGGATCTGGGAGCTCAGCAAGAAATTGGCCCTGGGGCCACTTCTGCATCTAAGTAGGGCCCAAATCCCTCCCTTCACAGACTTTGGGTTCTGTTTCTCATTTTGTTCTACCACCTAAATCACCCCTATCCTTCACAAGATTTAAAAGGACACAGTTGAGGGGTGCCTGGGTGGCTCAGTTGGGTAAGCGTTCGACTTCAGCTTGGGTTCTGATCACACGGTTTGTGGGTTTGAGCTCCACTTCGGGCTCTGTGCTGACAGCTCGGAGCTTGGAGCCTGCTTCAGATTCTGTGTCTCTCTGTCCCTCCCCAACTCGTGCTCTGTCTCTCAAAAATAAATAAACATTTAAAAAAAATTTTTTAAAAAGGGTAAAGGGTACAGTTGATAAGGAGAATGCTCAGTAGTGAGAAAGCCTGGAGGATGCTTTGACTCTTAGGATTTTGTGATTTTGTTGACCTCCCACTTGGAAGGGGTCCGATTACAGAAAAATAGAAGTAACTATAAAACATGCATTATAGATGTGCCTAGCTTCTGTAATGTGTTGGAATGCTCTTTTGTTCTATAAAACTCTCAAGAGACATGACAATCAAATGCTGCATGTGGTCTTTGATGGGTCAGAGATCAGAAAAAAATCAATCAAAGGCAGTTTGGGACAATTGATGACATTTGAAAACGGATTTATCTTAGATCATATAGTATCAAGATTCAATTTCTTGGGTGTGATGGTAGCACTGTGATTGGGTAAGAGAATATCCTTAGGACATACAAGGTGAAGCACGTGGGGTGAGATATGATGTCTGCAACTTACCTTCAAATGGTCCAGCAGGAAGTGTGCATGCACTTGTGAGTGACTACCTCGAGGTAGTACCCTTCTTGTGCATAGGCGTTATTCTGAAAAGATCAGCTTGAGTAACTGGAACTCCTCTCCTGAGCACTCTTCTCCCCCAGCAGTCCCACTCAGACTCACAGTCAAGTGTTTTGCTCCCCTGGGACATCCCCCCACAGTCTGTTCTGACTTCCCTGCTAGTTTCACTACCACACATTTGATTCCCACACCTGCCCCTGGGATTTGTTTCCTGTCCTACAGAATGAACGCACCCTGGACATGGGCTTCTCCCAGTGGGTTGGAAATCCCCCCAGATGGGCCTGCACCAGGCCCAGATCCTACCTTGCCCTTGCCTATTGACCACCCCCACACGGAAGCCACGTAGCCTCTGATAGCCCCCTTTCTCCAACACCACATTCTGTTGTCTCTGGAGCTTGTTTCTGCCCATGTTTCTCCTTTCCTCTGCTAATGCCATGACCATTATGCTTCATCCCTGCACGCCTCAGTTATGGGCATGTTCTCAGCATGTTTCCTCACCCCCAGCTTCTCATCTTCATGAAATCCAGTGGGCTTTCTGAATCACATTTATTGAGGTATAATTTAAGTATAGGATTTGATGAGTTTTGGCAGAGGTAACCAGCACCACAATCATAACAAAGAACATTTCCATCACCCAGAAAGTTCCTGCATACCCCTTTGCAGTCAGTCCTCTCCCCCCACCCCTTGTCAACCGCAGTTTTGCCTTTTCAAGAATTGCATATGGAAACACATAGTATGTAGTGTTTGGGTTTTTTTTTTTAATTTTTAATGTTTATTTATTTTTGAGAGAGAGAGAGAGAGCATGAGTGGGGATTGGGCAGAGAGAGGGAGACAATCCAAAGCAAGCTCCAGGCTCTGAGCTGTCAGCACAGAGCCCAATACAGGGCTCAAACCCATGAACCACGAGATCATGATCTGAGCTGAAGTCACTTAACCAGCTGAGTCACCCAAGCGCCCCTGGTTTCTTTTTTTTAAAGATTTTATTTATTTTTTTGTTTGTTTGAGAGGGAGAACGTGAGTGGGGGAAAGAGGGAGGCGGGCAAAGGGGGACAGACAGAATCTTTAGCAGGCTCCACTCTCAGCATGGAGCCTGACATGGGTTGCGATCCCATGACCCTGGGATCATGACCTGAACCAAAACCAAGAGTTGGACATTCAACCAACTGAGCCACCCGGGCATCCCCAAAGATTTTATTTTTAAGTAATTTCTACACCCGGCATGGGGCTCACACCCACAACCCCGAGATCTAGAGTTGGGTCTTCTGACTGAGCCAGCCAGGTGCCCCACGTAATCTTTGGCTTCTAATTTCACTTAGCATAATGCTTTTGAGTTCATATAGTTATGTGAATCAATAGTTTGTTCCTTTTAATTGCCAAGTAATATACCATTTGTATAGTTTACAAGGGCTGCCATAGCAAAGTACCACAGATGGCTTAAACAACAAATTTATTGTCTCAGTTATGGATGTTCAGGATCAAAATTTCAGCAGGATTGGTTTCTTCTGAAGCTGCTCTTCTTGGTTTGTAAAGGTACCTTTTCCCAGTGACTTCACATGGTCTTTCTCTGTACATGTCTGGGTCCAAATTTCATTTTATTATAAGGACACCAGTCCTATTGGATGATGGCTTGCTATAATGACCTCATTTTATCTTAATTGTCTCTTTAAGGACTCTATCTCCAAGCATAGTCATTTTTCTGAGGTACTAGGGGCTAGGATTTCAACATACAAATTTGGAGGGGTCACAACTCAGCCCAAAAGACCATTGTATGGATATTTACAATTTGTTCATCCATCTACTAGCTGAGGGACATTAGCTTGTTTCCAAGTTTTGGCTATTCCAAGTAAACCTGCTATCAGTATTTAAGTACAAATATACGTATGTTTTAATTTCTCTTGAATAAATACCTAAGTGGAATTGCTGAGTCAGATAGTAAATATATGTTTAATTATCGATTTTATTGATCATTTCCAAGAGCCATCTTTTGATTTGATTTTCTCCATTGCATTTCTGTTTCCTATTTCATTGATTTCAGATCCTTATTATTTCCTTCCTTTACTTATCCTTTATTCTTAAAGTTGAAACTCAGATATTGATTTGCCACCTTTCTTCGTTTATCATATAGCATCCGATGCTACAGATTTCCCTCTTAGCACTACCATAGCTACATCTCACACATTTTTTGTTGTATTTTCCTTTGTATTCAGTTCAAAATAGTTGCAGATTCCGTTGCAATTTCTTCTTCAACCATGTGTTATTTAGGAATGTGTTGTTTAATTTCTCAACATTTAGAGGATTTTCCAGATATCTTTCTATTATGGATTTCTAATTTAATTTTGTTGTAGTTAGAGAAGGAACTTTGTATGATTTGAATTTTTGCAAATTTGCTAAGATTTATTTTATTGCCCAGAATGTGGTTTACCTTGGTAAGTGTTCTGTATGCACTTGAAAAGCCTGTATCTTCTGCTTTTGTCAGCTAGAGCTAATTAAGTCGGTTAATTAAGTCAAGTTGAATGTTATGTGAATCAATTGTTCTATATCCTTACATATTTTCTGCTTATGTGTTCTATCAGTTATTGAGAGTGATTATTGTTGAAATTACCAAGTATAATTGTGGATTTGTCTGTCTCTTTTTTCAGTTCTAACAGGTTTTTGCTTTATGTATTTTAAGCTGTGTTAGTAGGTACATTTATACTGTTGTGAGCTTTTAATGAATTGCTGTTGTGATGAGGACCATTACATAATTACATAATGATTATTATGTAACATTTCTCTTTATCTCTGGTGATGTCCTTTGCTCTGAAATGTGCTTTGTCTAATGTTAATGTAGCTTCAGCTTTATTTTGATTAGTATTTGCAGGGTATCTCTTTTCCCATTCTTCTACTTTTAAACTACCTTTATCTTTGTTTTTCTTTTTTTCTTATTTGATGTTTATTTTTATGTATTATGTATGTATGTTGTATGTGCCTTTGTTTTTTTATGTTTGTTTATTTATTTATTTATTTTGAGAGAGAAAGAGCATGCATAAGCCAGGAAGGGGTGGAAAGAGAGAGGGAGAGAGAATCCCAAGTAGGCTCTGCACTATCAGCACAAAGCCCAACATGGAGTGTGATCTTACCAACCAAACCGTGAAATCATGACCTGACTTGAAATCAAGAGTCAGACACTTAACTGACTGAGCCACCCACATGCCCCTTGTCTTTGTTTTTAAAGTGGGTTTCTTCTATAGCTGACATATAGTTGGGTCTTAATTTTTTAATTCAATTTGACAATCTTAATTTTCAATTGGAGTATTAAGACCATTTGCATTTATTTATGCATTTGTTTACTTTAAGTTTATTTATTTATTTTGAGAGAGAGAGAATGCGTGCATGCAAGAAGAGGAAGGGCAGAGAGAGAAGGAGGGAGAGAACCCCAAGGAGGCTTCTCACCTGCAGTGCAGAGTGGTGGCGCAATTTCATGAACCGTGAGATCATGACCTGACCTGAAATCAAGAATTGGACACTTAACCTAATGAGCCACCCAAGCACCCTAAGACCATTCACGTTTAATATAATTATGACTATGATTGGATTTACATCTGCCAGTTTGTTATTTGTTTCCTATATGTCTTGT